GATGATGGACTAGCTACCGGATATAGGTTGTGTGCGTCCACCTTCCACGGAGCACTTTGACGAAGACGTAGCCCATAAAACAAAGTCCTGCCCATAAGAGATCTTCACCAACCCTCGTTGCCCCCACCCCTAATTTAACCAAGTTCTCCAAACTCCTTAATGATAGTTATTGATACATATTTTATTTATAAAAACTGAATGAATAATGGCAGTCATTTGTATAGATGAGAAATCATTCACAGTACCAGAGATATTTCGATATAGATATTCCTGTGGTTCTAACCACATCCTCATTTAGTTTTAGAAAGCATGAACTATGAGCTGGTGCAGCCAATCAATACCAAGAAAACATCTTGACTGGTGCTATGGCGTCTTATGGGTGACTTGACTAAAAAATTCATTCAGATCAGTTGACTCCTAGACAATTGGCTTCTAGTCAAGTCTCATTCACAGTAACTCCAAGTGCATCAAAGTAGAACAGGGCTCCATATAGTTTTCAATGACTGATGTTTCCGAAAGACGCCACCATCCTTTGTTCCCAGGCGTCACTGGGTGAACTTGAACTTTCACCCTTTCAGTTAGCAGTTCAGTAAGTTAAATGTTTGTACCACCCTTTGACCTTATGAAGGAAAACTGGCATTACTCTCTGGTGTGACTTTGATGTGATTAGCAAATTAGCTAGTGGCAGCCCCAGGTGTGATGACGTAGGTCCACTTTTTATTGGTCATTGCCCCTGCTAGAGTATTACAAAGTTTAAAGGTTTCCCCCAATCACTTAGTCGTGACCCACAACTAAGCTGAGTAACAAGAATTTTATTAGATTTTTTTTAACGTCTGAGGCTGTTGTTAGTGTCAGTATAATTTCCGCCCAATCTCTGTGCATCACCTTGAACTTACATACCCAGAGAGTGCTGCACACTGAGAAGGTATAGCCAGGGAAGGGGCCCAGAAGCAAACGACAACCCTAAGGAAACCACAAGTTCAGTAAGATGCTGCTCCCATTTACCTGGGAGGAGAAAGGAACTTAGAAACACTTGTAACAACAAAGTGTGAAAGGATTCGTTTACTTTCAAACTAAATAACGGTCATCTCTTCACACATCCTAACTCAAGAAGATTTTCCTGTAAGAGGCCACAACTCAAGTTCACAAAAATTGTAAACTTGTCCCGGTATGAGAGAGCTTCAGAAAGGTCATGGAAAACTGCCATGGTCTTTCAGTTCCATTTTGCCACCAATTTTCTGAAGCCCTCCTATAAACCTTACAGGAACTTGAAACCATGTAGCCAGGAATTTCTGGCCAACTAATCATTTTTCTTTCTTGAACTCGGAACATTTTACGTATGTTGCTCCAAGCTAATTTGCATTCTGCACAAGTTACAGGAACCAACCCTCCCGGAAGTGTGGAAATGTGCAGCTCGATCGGCCCCTCTGCGGGTTAAGTCATAGCACCAAGCTCACAGACGAGCCCAGCGAGGCCCTCTAAGTCTTTTGCAATGAGTGAGCATTAGGAAACACCTGGGTCATTTCGTGCTGGATTCCAGGCAGCTCGGCGGAAGGCTCAGGCTGGAGCATTGCAAAAGTGGATGATTCCTTGCTGAGGAATGGCATGTGATGAACCGAGCAAACTGCCAACGTGTAGCGCCAGATGTTAATGTAAAAATTGGACAATTGGGGTCCCATGTGGCTAGCTGGTTCCTGACCTACCAAAGCCCACTGAAAAGTCGCTGCAGCAGCATCAGCTCTGGCTTCTTCCTTGACTCAACTTTGTGGCTCGTTATTTTTTTTTTGTTTTATTGTTTTAAGGTAAAATAATGCTGAGTGATTTGACTGATATAATTACATCATATCAGTCTGGACAGGCATTTTGTGCACATGCAGATAGAACACATCGCTATTTATTACCACAGAAATCATAGAAAGCACATTTGTACATTCATTGCCCTCATCATTCTCAAAACATTTGCTCTCCATTTAAGCCCCAGGCATCAGGTGCTCATTTTCCCCCTCCCTCCCCTCATGAGCCCTTGATAGTTTATAAATGGGTATTTTGTCATATGTTGCCCTGTCTGACGTCTCCCTTCACCCACTTTTCTGTTGTCTGTCCCCCACGGAGGAGGTCACATGTAGATCCTTGTAAGCAGTTCCCAAATGTATGTATGGATTGTGATAAGAGTTGTATGAGCCCCTAATAAGACGATTAGGGGAAAAAAAGAAACCAGAGAAAGCACGGCCTGTCTTGAGTTGCTCTGTTCCCAAGCGCTTTTGTAGTGTGGAACAGGTTTAGTTGCCTTGTCTGCATCCCACACCTATCTGTTAGCATGGTGGGAGTGCCGAGAGTTAGGAAGGACAGATGGGAGAGCATGGTGATATTTTTGGATGAGATGGAGAGAGAACACTTGAACTATAGCTTTGACAGTGCTCTTACACTTGCTTGTTCTGTGTTCTTGCATAGGCACACAGAATCTCTGAAGCAGGACAAACCGGAAAAAAAAACCAACTGAAAAATACCAATGCCACTGAGTCAATTCTGAGTTAGAGTGACCATACAATACAGAGTAGAACTGCTTCCATGGGCTTCTGAGACTAAGTTTTTATGTGAGTAGAGAGCCTCATCTTCCCTCAAAGCTGCTGGTGGGTTCAAACGTTGGACCTGGTGGTTAGCATCGCAGTGCATAGCGCCCTATGCCAGTAGGGTTACGCAGCAATTCCCTATCTAGAGGAGTGCTTGGTATGACACGGGGGGAGGTACAGGTAAGAAGCTCTGGATCTGGTATTGGATCTGAGCACATTCCAGCTCTCTTTCTTGCCATTTGAATTCAGGCAAAACCCTTAAATCTCTAGGACTCAAATTCCCCTTCCTCAAATGGATTAAAAATGTCCTGACCACCTCCCCCCCAAATCCCAAATGCACTGCAATCAAGCTAATTCTGATTCATAGAGAGCCTACAGGACAGGGTAGAACTGCCCCTGGGCGTGTCTAAGACTGGCACTCTGGGCAGTAGAAAGCCCCGCTTCTCTCCTCAGGAGAGGCTGGTGGTATTGAACTGCTGACCTTCACAACCACTATGCCACGGGGCCCCTTTGACTACGTCACAGGGTTGTAAACGCAAAGAAAACCACTTCTGTAGACGTGATGCATCAATAACGCTGGAGAAAAACGCTGCAGCTTTCTTGTTTGCTCTCTGAATCCTGAGGAAGCTGAGCCCCAAGAACTCTCCTGCTGTGGAGCGTCAACCATCAATTTCAAGTCCCATCCCTATGAGACCAAGTAGCACTGTCCTGGAGGGTTTTCTTGGCTAAATCGTAATGGGCACAGATATCAGGTCTTTCCCTAATACAACTGCTGGCTCGGTGTGAGCTCATGACTGTGATGCTAGAAGCAAAGAACTTAGTAAGCTTAGAGTGTGGGGAGAGGACACATTAAAATGTCCCTCTTTTTGCAGGGTGTGCATGAATAGCTTAACGATGCTTCTTGATGCTTTCTGTTTCTTAAAGCCATGGCAAGGAGAGGAGGGTGTGGAGATTAAAATCTCGGGGAATTGTTAACAAGAAACCCAGTGTGTCCAACCAAACCAGACAGCGTATCACCAGGGGGGTTAGCACCTCTGTCGTGAGTGAGAGAGACTGAAGGCAGCCGTCTTCCAGAGGCTTGTGCTAGAGAAAGATAAACAAGTGCAAGAGCCAGGCCCTGCCCTCAAGTGAGCATGCAATTCTCTCTCTCCTTCTCAACAGAAACCAATGACAAGGATACAGAGGACCATGATGGCAAGAACAGCTCACAGAACGGACACACGAGGAAGGGCCTTAGAGACCCTCCTGTCCAACGTTGCCCTAAATAGATGAGGGAACTAAGGCCTCCACAAGCCAGCAGGCGTGGCCTCGCTCACACAAAGCAGCAACACTGCTTGCTGGATGAGAAGCCAGAGCTCTTGACTCACCTTTCCTATTTGCTTTTCCTGAGCTTGTGCTGACTATGGAAGCGTGGGTGGCACATGGGTTATGAGCTGGACTGCTAACCACAAGGTACGTGGTTCAAACCTAACAGCCTTCCATATGAGAGAACAATGAGGCTTTCTGAGATTTACAGCCTCCGGAAACCCCAGGGGCAGCTCTATGCATCAGAACAGACTCGATGGCAATGAGGTTTTCCTCCTTTGGTGGTTACTGAAGTCTCAAATACAATCCAACTTTGGTCCTTTGAGGGACTACCTTTATGTTTTACTGAGTCACATCTCTGTAAGAGACATATCACTGGAAATTGTTTTCTCCTTCCCAGCTTCCTTGTCCCCTAACCACCACCCTTCCTCTTTTTTCCCCTCCTTTTTACAGCCCCTCTCACCTTCTCTCTTCCTTTGCTTCATGGGTGTACTGGGAGACAAATAGCAGATCTGTGTCAAATAAATACAATTCACAAATGCCTGTACTAGCTCCAAACTTGGGCCAAGGCTTGAAACTTCCAAAGTTATCAAATGAAATCCTGAAGCTAGAGGGGGGTGGGGGCGTGGGAATACTTTCCCAAAAGTCTGATAACATTTATGTAAAATTAAGATTTTATTATTTCCCCAGCACATCGCCATCACCAGCCACTCCTCGCCTTTTCATGCTCAGGTTCAAAATAAAGCCTGGCGTTTATCATGGACACGTCCAATGGGTGTGTGAGCTTATGACCAGCTCAAGAGACCAAAGCAAGCAGATAGAGTGTTTCTCTCACAATCATCCCATGTTATCAGTTTATAAACAGGCTTATTTAATTGGAACTGAATTTTCAAACACGGACCCTCCTAATCTTTTCCATCCCTTACACACATATCCAATGGGTGCATCTTTTTCTTGACCCTGATCCGAAGAAGAATATACAGGCTCCCCAGGCAGGGAAAGAATCGATGGAAAGTAAAAAAACAAACCCACGTTAACCAATGTAACCAAAGCTCTCCCAAATGGCTACCAATAAAGAAGAGACAAAATGCCCAGCACCAACGGTGCCAAACCATTTACTGAAAGTTTTCAGATCTTTGAAACGTGTTACAAAAAGCAAGTAAACACAGTGAAACTAATGGCAAATCAGACATGAAACCCTAACATATGGGGCAATTCCAGGAAGGGGTGTAGGGATAGGAACTACCTGGGACTGTTTACTATGATTCAAGCACTGTGCTAGGCTCTTTTTCACATATATTTCCCTTCATTCCATTCAGGAAAAATTATCCCAAACTCAGAAATAAGGAAAATGCAGTAATCCCTTAGTATCTTGTTAGCTCATCATTTACCAAGCCCAGTCTAGGGTTGTCTGACTTTCCTGGGCAATGCAGCATTGACTAGTAATGTAAGAGGGACCGGATCAGGGATCCTGCAGAGTGGAAAATTGACTTGTAGAAAACTGATAAAAATATTTTTATTTTCCCATGGAGAAAATCACCCCCAAAGGTTATAGGGTTGGATTTTTTGGTTTTGTTTTTTTCCCTGTAGAACACTAACCAGTTTAATATCTTACTTAGCACTCACCTTTTATCACGGCCTTCTTCGTGACTTAAATTCCAGCTCTTTGTATTCAAATGACTCATTTATGCTGATGATGAGTAAACTGAAACTTAGTATCAATTCCTATGAGGATCATAATTTTAACGATTGGAGCTTGTGCTTTGACAATTCTCAGACAATCACATGAGGTAGGTAGTATATCCTCATTTACGGAGGACAAATTAAAGACTGCAAGAAGGTGCCAGGCCCGTCCAAGGTTACAGAGGTCATAAGTGACAGCGCTGGGGCTTGAACACAAACCTCCCGCAATCCTTTCACTGGAAGTGCACGGGTGAGTCATGTGGGCACTACACAGTCAGGATCCTCTCCAAAGGCCCAACCTCATTTACACACATATTGATAAGTTTGCCTGACAGTTATGTTTCAAAGGCAAATAAGAATCAATGCCCTAAACATGAGTCCTTGAAGAGTCATTTAATTTGGGGAACACTTAAGTTTTCATTTGTTTTTGGTTTCAAATCTTCACTTTGAAACACTGGAAATGTTGAACGGTATGGCATGCTATCAGTAAAGTGTGAGATTCCCAAGGCTTTGCAGTGTCACTCCCTGGCTCTGGCTGATGCTGAGCAAGTATTGCCCAGGCTGTTACAGACGTCCTTCCGAAGGATGTAGAACCCGTATTAGAGACCTCCTCCTGGACATTCTGTGCCGATGTCTCTACAAGAGAACATGAGAACTTTGGGGGATACATTTGACCAAATGACCAGCATCCACTAATGGAAAGATTCTCCATTTACACTTTTCCCAGACATCTACCAATGGAAAGTCGAGGACCAACAACACGCTTCTGTCTTCTTCAGGCATGAAGGTGATTGGTGGTCCTGACTGACAGGACAAGGAGACCACAAGACGGGCAGGAGGAGCTACGTCTAGTCCCCAAACACTTTCATCGACATTGAAGATCTTGAAAACATTATCTTGGGAAAGGTTGTTCTTGCAAATACGTGTTTATCGGCCAATACGTATGATTATCAGTTGAGATAGTATATGCCTTTAGAAGGCACCTGAGGATCCACTGAGTGCATATATGAAGATTTACAGGGCTTTTTCTCCAAAAATTAGATTTTTAAAGTTGAGGATCACTTGGTATCTAGAAGGATAAAAATCTGTACTTCCATTATGAAGGTTTTGTCCACCAAATGAAGAACTCGATGGAGACTGTGGCTTGGTTTCCTTGCAGACTCACCCCTTCTTGATGGAGACCATCAAAGCAGTCAGCCAAGATTTAAGCTAAGCGATTTCATCGGCCCCACCCTAGCCCCAATTGCAAACTCTGGAGCCAGCGGCACCTCAGCTCCAGCTGAGGTGCAAAGATAACGCTGTGGTTCAAATCCATCTTGACTCAAAGTTTCCCTGTTTCATCCTGGCTTAAGCTGTTCACTGCGTCTGTGGTTTTCTTACATAAATTTTCAATCCAGCTAGTGCTATTATACAGGGTCTTTTCCAACCCTGATGTCGGGGGTGGGTTTTTCGCACGCATATTTTTTCCAGATGTTATCAGCTCTCCGTAGCCCTCTTGGTGAGCAAAAGCATAGCCGGATCTTCTTGAACTTGACCTGCGGGTCTGAGGTCTTCGACGCCTTAAAGGCCTCGCTTTCTTTTGAGCTTTCTGCCACTGGCGGATCTGGGGAGGAAGCAGACTCAGAGTGAGATGATGCGCCCCTTCAATCAACGCAAGTGGGTCACTTGGTGAAGTGGAAGCCTTTTCGGTATAGCTAGGATCGATAATAGCCGAGCCAAGCCTTGGTTGCAAAGGAAAACTTTTTGTTTTTTCCTAATGGATTTTTATTCCTACCACGAGGCGGTAAGGTAAACGAGAAGTGCTAAGACAAATTTCATTATTGCCTCCATCTCAAAGGAGTTGGAACATACTTTTGTAAGAATAAAATATACTTTTAAGACAGGCAAAAAAAAAAAGACAGGCACCGCCCCAATTCAGTGAGTTTCTGACACTTTCGCCTCTGATTCCTACAACACAGGCCTTTTCCCCCTCTTTTTCTTGTAGAAGTTCTCAGGATCCAATAGTTATTCATAGTCGGTCTAGGAGAACATTTAGAAATAAGATTGAGAGTCAGAAATCTCTAACTCCAGTGGTAGATTAAAACTCCATGAAGAGCAACTTGTTGTTGTTGTGTGTGTGCTTCTGAGGGGCTCAACATAAATTGGGTGACTTTCAGCTTGCCTTTCATTTCACTAGGGAAACAGATGGCCCTAGTTTTGGTGCAAGTACCCACTGCTCACTGATCCAACTGATCTCTAGAGTCCAACCTCTGTGGCAGAGGAAGACCACTAAGAAGAAAGTCCTAAACTGACTCAACCTAGCAAGAAATAAATGTCATGTCCCTTCCTTTCAGCTCACTTACCAGCTCCTCGGACCAAAGTCCCGAGAGGAGATGCCATGGGCATGTCAAAAGGAATCTCCTCCCAGTTGGGTCCCAGGACCTGAAGGCCAACATGATTAAAGAAGGGCTACCCCGTTTCTTTAGGCCTCATGGACCTGGTCCCTTACCTCCTCAGTGTTTTCCCACTCTTCATGATGTGGGCTACAATGGATCTCTCCTTCCCACCCACCCCCCTTTCTCCTTTTCTCTTTATCTTTGGGTCTTTATTGATCCTGACATTGTCTCCCTGACACTCATCTTTCCCCAAAGTATTGAACCATGTTCTGCTCATTTTCTGGGTTTTGTATTTCTGTACAGTAAGTCCCCAGGTTACTAATAAGAACTGACAATTCATGAATACACTGACAAGCTACACTCACTGCCATCGAGTCAATTCTGACTCACAGTGACCCTACAGGACAGGATAGAACTGCCCCAGGCAGGGGGGTGGGGGGCTGCAAGGCTGAAAATCTTCACTGGAGCAGAAAGCCTCATCTTTCTCCTGTGGAGCAGCTGGTAGTGCCAAACTGCAGACCTTGTGATTAGCCACCCAAAGCATAACCCACTCTGCTACCAGGGCTTCCTGACAACTCATACCGGCCATTTCGTATGATGTAAATGTGCCCGCACTTTAAAACACTGGTACCCACCCTCACCCTACTCTTGACAACATTTTTACCACAATCATTTCACTTGATGCACAAGCAGCTTTGAAATCATTGAAAAACTTCCAGTCTTCTCTCACACTCAAGCGAGAATAAATAATAGTATGCACATTTCCAATTTACCTAGAAATTCAATTTGTGGACACACTTAACCATGATCTCTTTTGTAACCTGAGGACTGCCTATAATCTGTTCTTCTGATTATACTTACAACTTTGTGTTCTCCATCCCACCCATAATGGATCCTTTCGAAGGCCACAGATCCTCCATCTATCTGGATCTGTTCCCAGACTTCTACAGGAGTTTGGAGCCTCTTGGCCTCCTACTATACTTGACTATCTTTTACTCTGCCCTTTACCGAGTCAATAACTTTCCCTATCACTTGTGCTTGCCTTGAAACAAGTGCCTACAATGATGTTGAAAAGGTTCCTTAAAAAAAAAATTTAAGTTTCTTACGTACCCAACTAAACTTTCTATTTTCTCCATCCACATTTAGTTCAGGTATATCTCTTCAGTGACACCCAGGGGCCTGAAGGTATGGGCAGTCTCATGTACTCTGAGATGATGCAAGGCACCTGTAATTGTCTGTGGATGGGCATTTTGCACATCCTTCCCCGGGCTGCCCTCTAGTCAGGCAGAAAATGACACCATTCCAAGATCCAGAAACTAGTCCAGTAAGTACTAATTGGCGCTGACACTTACCTGATCACTCAGGGTTGGGTATAAACTTGCTTTCAGAAGTCTGAATGCCACCACGGGTATAACTGATGCCACCGTCGTGAGGAGAATGATGAGCCAGATGCGTTTCTGAGTCAACGAGTGCCTTGCATTTCCTAGCATTGAAGAATAGGCACTCGGTCATAAATAGGCCTGCATTGTTTCGTTAGTGGGTTTTTCTTTGGGCCAAGGAACTTTGTTGAAATACTTAGTATACTTAGAGAAGAGCCACGGGGTAGTTTCCCCAATGTGCACAATGGTAACAAGAAGAAAGCAGTGCTTATCCTTGGGAGCTGCGAGGTGGCCGGATCGCATAGCGGTTGCCAGCGTGGGTCAAGCATTGTCTGAGTCCAGCTCGGGTGAGCTCTACTCATGGGTACAAGCTTCTCCTTCAGCCTCAAGGTCCCTGATTACAAACAAACTATGATTTTGAAAGGCAGATAGCCTCTTATTTTTTTTACATAGCTGTAAAGCATATAGGCCTAAACTTTTTTAAAAGGCCATGAAATGCCTTCAAAAACCCTGCCTGAAAGTAACGTGGGAAACTCCAAGATTCAATCAGTTCATCTGATTGTCAAGAAGACCAGCGACGCCCCAGGGCTGGTGAAAGCAGAATGCCCCTCCCTGAGGGGTTGCTAATGCAGCCATCCAACAAGCCTGAAGCCAGTTTCCTCACTCTATAGTCGCACTTCATATGCGGCAATGCTGGTTTGAAGGAAGCAGCAAGCCGTCAGCAAAGCCATCAGATATATACCAGTCCTATTGGTGGAAAGTACAGCCACAGTGGTCCTTGGAAGCGAGGATGGTGAGACTTCATTCCACCTGCTCTGGACATGCTGCCAGGAGAGACCAGAGCCGAAAAAGGACACCATGCTTGGTAGGGTGGAGAGGCAGCAAAAAGAGGGGGAAGATTCTCAACTAGAGGGTCTACTTGGCGTGTATACTGGTACAGATAAGAGCTTGAAACACAGGAAATCCAGAACAGATAAACGCCTCAGGACCAATTAGGGGAGCAGCAACACTAGGAGGGTAAGGGGGTGGGAGTGGGGGTGGGGGTAAGGGGGCACCGATCACAATGATCGATGTATGGCCCCCATCCCAGGGGGATGAGCAGCAGAAAAGTAGGTGAAATGAGACAGCAGTTGGTATAAAACATAGGAAAAGAAGAATAATTTATAAATTATCAAGGGGGCATGGGGTAGGGAGGGTGGGGAGGGAAGGGAGAAAAATGAGCTGGCACCAGGGGCTCAAGAAGAAAGAAAATGTTTTGTAAAAGATGATGACAACATATGTAAAGATGTGTTTGACCAAATGGATATATGTATGGATGGTGATAAGAGCTATAAGAGCCCCCAATAAAATAAAATAATTTTTAAAAGAGAGAGAGAAAAAAGAAATAGGTGGAGGATATGTTGTTAAAGAAGCTCTACATTTTAATATTTTTTGTTTATTAAAGGTTTCTGTGATTTTGAAAAAAAATAGAGGGTCTACTTTTTTTTCTTTTAAAAATCATTTTATTGGGGGCTCTTACAACTCTTATCACAATCCATACCTACGTCCATTGTGTAAGCACATTTGTACATGTGTTGCCCTCATCATTGTCAAAACATTTGCTTTCTACTCAAGCCCTTGGTATCAGCTCCTCATTTTCCCCCTTCCTCCCCGCTCCCTCTCCCTCATGAACCCTTGATAATTTATACACTGTGATTATTTTGTCACGTCTTACACTGTCCGACGTCTCTCTTCACAAAGAGGGTCGACTTGACCAAGTGTGACATGGGGACGATTGTGCTTGGTAAAGTCGAGGGTCAGTGAGACACGGGAAGATGGTTCCAGCCCAGAGCTGAAGCATCCCAGTGGTGAGGATGGAATAGGACCAGGCAGCATGTTGTTCTGTTATACATAGGGTTACTCACCATGAGTTGCAGCCCACACAATAACACCTAGAAATGTATATGACCACATACATTTTTCCCTGTTGGTTTTCTACGAATTCACATGCCACCCCAAGCAGTATCTAGATCCTCTCTCCGGATATTAAAGTGTGAGTACCGTTTAGATGGAGTTTGAATGTGCACGTTCGGCTACTGACGGATACGTCTACTTTTCCTCCCTTTGGAGGGTAGAATCTGCCTACCAAAGAGCAGCCGATGCCAGTTGCTCTCAGACACGGACAGAAACAAACTTGACTGAGTAAATTAAATGTCTCTTTGAGCTCCTTGATTCTCAATCCCCGTAGGCGTTCTGGAAAAATAAGCTTCACTGGAAAACCACACTTCTGCTTGTTGTTGGCGACTAAGGGGAAAAAATTTATTACTATTTTCCCCTCAAACCCCAATGTTGATCTCACTTTTGACTAGTCTCATTGGAGCTCAGTAATTAATTCCTGAAATGGCATGTGCTTGGCCAGAGAGAGTGGGCCCCACACAAACGACTTTCTCGAGTCGAGAAGTTCTACTTTCATTAGCTTGTTAGAACCGTCTCGGGACTGGAAGGCTTCTGGTGAATTCACTGAACTTTCGGATCTGGCAACAACAATCATCTTAAAAATAGTTTTTATGTCTTTCCTCATATGCCTCTTCTTGTTCTTAACCACCATGTCTCTACATGGTTGAAATCTTTTGGTAAACAAAATATGTTACATATTTATTAAGAGAAGTGCAGGACCCCTGGGGGTGTCCTGGGTTAGCCCCTGAACTGGAACCATAAGGCCAACAGTTCAAATCCACCAGTTGCTCAGAGGAAGAAAGACAAGGTTTTCTGCTCCTGGAAAGATTTACCGCAGAAACCCATAGGGGCAGGTCTACCCTGTCCTATAGGGTTGGAATCTGCTTGATGGCAATGAGTTTTGGTGCATTTGGTACAATGTCAGGATTTCCAAGTACGTTCAGAGCAAAGTAAAAGTCTAATGAACTTGAGCATATGCATGCACAAACATGGAATTACAATTTCAATCTCTTTCAAGCAATGGAAACGGTTGCTCTTATTTGGTTGTCTGCATACATCGTAACAATTGTTTTTCTAGACTGGTTCCCCACTAAATCCCCAAAACCGCTGCTACCCTGTTTCCCCGAAAGTAAGACCTCCCCCGGAAATAAGACCTACTTACAGTTTTGCCTCTCGCTGAAATATAAGGCATCCCCCCCCTGAAAATAAGACTCCCAGAACATAAGGCCTCCCTGATAATAAGGCCTCCTGAAGCTACTGTAACTCTGGACTCTGGACCGTAGCGGCAGGGGCCACTGCGCAGCTCACTGTTGGCCGCAGCACAGTCAGAGCAGACAGGAAGTGTGAGGTCTCTTTTAATAAAACAATAAACAATAAATGTGTACCATATCTTTCTTCCTAGAAAAATAAGACATCCCCTGAAAATAAGACCTAGTGCATCTTTGGGAGCAAAAATTAGTATAAGACACTGTCTTATTTTCAGGGAAACAGGGTATTGAGTAACTCCCATCTCATAGTGAGTGACGCTATAGGGCAGAGCAGACTGCCAGATAGGGTTTCCAAAGCTGTAATTATTTTTCTTCCACGGACCAATTGGTGTTTTGAGCTTATGGTTAACCACAGAGCATTTAAGCACTGTACAACCAGAACTCCTATGAACCTAACGCTAACCCAAACCAAACGCACCATCATGACATGGATTCTGACACATATATACCCTACAGAACAGGGTAGACCTTCTTCTGTAGCTTTCCACGGTTGTATATCTTTACGGGAACAGAAAGCCTCATCCTCTTCTATGGAGCTGCAGATGGGTTAGAAGTAAGGACCTTGTATTAACAGCCCAGCACACAATCAACTGTACAGCCACAATGCTCCTTGGAAGTGAGGATGGTGAGACTTCATTCCAGTGCTCCTGATGAACAGTTGATTATGCTCGTGGCAATATAGCAGGATGACCTAATTAAGCTCAAGAAGGTCGATTTCTTGCATAGCTTTCCCTCCGTCTGTTGGGCTGAACTCAGAACTATAATTCCTACGAGCTTACCTCACCCAAGGTCTTGCATTAGTCACCCCCTTGCATCAAACACAGAGAGGCCTGAGGTGCAGTGGTTAAAGCACTCGGCTGTTAACTGAAAACTTTAGAAACTCTATGGGCAAGTTCTACTGTGTCCTACAGGGCTGTCTGAGTTAGAACCAATTTAATGACAGTGGGTTTTCAGGCATACCAAGTGTCATACCATTTGCTCAAAATCATTTTGAAATATGGAGTATAGAGGTGTACACGCCATGTAGCATCATAGAATCTCGAGTTTTCTTAAGGATTTCAGGGAGCTGTTTGCTACTTATCAGCTTCTCAAAATCACTCATGCTGTCCTCAGCCAATAATTCAGCAACATTTTAAAAACTCACCATCATCATTATTAGTTTTCATGGAAAAGTAGTATGTGTTAGGTTTCATGCCAAGCTTTTTTTTTTACATATTATTTAATCCTCACACGTTTTCTATGATTGGAGCTATTAATAGCTCCAGTTTACAATGGAGTACCATAAGGCATAGAAAGGGTAGAAGCTTGCTCAAGAGAGATGGTCAGTGGTGGACCTGGGCTTGAACTTTGGGTGTCCAGAGCAGAGTCTCCTCTTCATGCTACCTGTACACCTTTGCTCACAGAGGGACACAGCCTTTGTCGCTCTTGGGACTCTCCATAAGCTGCTGTCACAATGGCTCTTCTGCATCCGGTGGGGACAGTAGAAAGGAATATTTGGGAAACTCGTCAACATTGAAAGGCTGAAGATGCCTGCTTCCATCAATTTCTGCAGACGGATTCCTTGGCCACGCTCAGCCACCACTCAAACCAGAAACCGAATTACGAAGACAAATAGCAGCATCAGACCAGCCTCTACTCGATCATAGGATTCACTTACCAACAAACGGAAACTGGTTTGGGAAGATGCCGAAGATGCCATTACTGTGCATAGCAAATAAAATGGAGAAGTAAGTAGCAAGGCTGCCCCAGACGAAGACATGATTGATGGCAGTCCAATAACTGGTATCCAAGGTTATCTGTAAAGATAATCAAGTGTAAAAGGGAGACTTTTCAGAACCAAAGCAGGATCATTTTAGTGATAATATCTCCCCCAGACCGACTCTGGCTAATCCAGATGGATCCACCTTTGTAGCTGCCAATCCATTCCCACCTCCTTTGCAGAATCAGAGACTGACTGAACTTTACCATTTCTGGTAGACAATGGATTTGAGGACCTCTATCTGACAAGCCATTGTGCCTGTCAAGGTTGAGGTACAATCAAGAGAAGAATGCCAACCTTCTTTTAAGTGAAAACTCAGAAAGCTGAGCGGTTCATCATTTCAAAGTGACTTTCCAAATTCCTCTCAAAATAGCCCTATTGGGGGGAAAAAGTTTTTGTAGGGAGCTAGTGCAAAATTTTATAATCTGTATGTAAGTTTTATATATTCCATAAATTTTCATAGGACTCTTTTGACACATCCGTAAGTTATTTTATATACCTTTTCCAACACAGTTTCCTAGTCCTTACTCAATTACCCAAAGAATATTCTTAACCCCCTTTGCCATAAAATTGAGAAACTGGGATTCAAGTGACCTGGGGGTAGGTTTATATCCCTTCTTCTGTCCAATAACTATTGTAGTATTTCAGCTTACCAAAAAAAAAGTGGTCTGATATTAGGGAATTACAGAAACCACTGGTAAATATAAATTATGCAGAGAAAATAGTGATTTCTGGCACCATTATTTGCATTTCATATGGCCTAAGTTGTCCAAGTAAACGTTTCTATTTCTAGCAGAACTTGAGACAAAATTAGAGATTTTTTGGTAGCAGAAAGGAAATAGATCTATCACTATCACTTCTCAGTTTACTATCCTTCATAAAAGGACAACCTTTTCTCTCCTTGAGAAGTCTGAGAACAGAAAGCCCTGTCATCTGGGCCTCAAAAAACAGATGCCTAGTTTTCCAATATATTTAACTGCAAGACCTTAGGCCAACATCTCCAATTTTACCTTCTACCAGCAGCCAGTTAATTCACCCCCACCAAGAGACATAAGAGCTTCACCCGTGTGGGTATGAGGAAACGAAACACCAAAGCCAGCCAAGAGGACTCAACTGGAAAACAGCAGATTGAGCCTACTGAGGAAGAACTACGAGAACAGGTTACACGAAACCCATCAATTCCATAGCAGCCCTACAGGACAGCTAGAACTGCCTGGCAGAGTTTCCCAGGCTGTGATCTTTAGGGAAACAGGTGGGCTCAATCACTGCCCTTTCAGCTGCAGCTGAGTGCTGGCTTTGCTGCTGCCCAATCACAGCCACCACAAGAAGGAAGAAGAATTCTTGAGGCTAGGCAATTAGATCACAAAAAATATTTCTGGGTCTTAAAAAAAGGATTCGTTTGGAATGTCAGAATTCACCAGAGAAACAACCACAACAACAAAGAAGTGTCACTGATGAGAACAGAATTAAGTCTGTGAAAGCCAATGGGAATAATACCTCCCAACAGAGAGCAAAACTTGAAGACGTGGAAAACAGGTGTAAAAAGCTGGGAGCTGGATGCCACATCCACAGGTGGCAGACCCATGAACCCAGCAGACAATGGATGCGCGGGCCCTCTAGAAGGAGGAGCAAGAGAGAGAGAAGTGAAGCTCAGAAGAAGATCCTGTAAAGGACAGCGTGGGTTTCCAGATTTAAGGGACCTGCTAAACCCTAAACACATCCGTAAAAGAAGATACATTCCCAATGCCATTTGTGAAGTTCCAGGGAAAAGGACACAAGCTTCGAGAGCAGTGGTGCCCCACCTTCCTCATTCTGTGACCCTTTTTTCAATGCTACTTCATCACTGTCATTTTGCTACTGTTACGAATCAGGCGACCCCAGTGAAAGGGTCGTTCAACCCCCAAAGGAGTCACGACCCACAGGTGGAGAACCGCTGTTAGACCCAAAAGATATCATTGACAAAGGAGAGAGGAGCACAGCAAACTGCTGTCCTGGGACATAATGGGGCAGCACTTCCAAATTCTAATGCAAAAGACTCTAGTCCAAGAATGTTATTTTCTTCCAATAGGTCATTTAAATGTAAAACCAAAGAAAGGCAGCTCCCACCCTCTTAAAAGGATAATGTCTATTAACACTGTGATAGGTGGGTTTATTGTGCCAACCTGGCCAGGAAACACGTGTGGGGTTAATACGGTTGGAGTTGAATTGAAGGGCAAAGAGATAGAGGGCTCTGCGAGCCTCACCTGTCTGTCTCTTGCTCTCTGATGATTGAACCTTAGCTAGTTCTCTGCCTCCCCTTGTGAGCTAGACTGCCTGTGGGACACCGAACCTGTAGACTGTGTTTCTGTCGTTTGAGATTTCTTCAAGACCTGCTTTACCACACTGCTGGTGTGTACATCACTTGAGGTGTGGACTGTCAGACCCTGTCATCTGGCTGACTGTTGGTGACTTGCTTGTTGTTTGCTGTCTGTGGCCAGACTGTCTGTGTTGCTCCACAGAAGACTCAGCTGTCTGCTTCCTACACTTGCATCCAGCAGCCCTCGTGAGTTGAATGACTGCCAGTATTTTAACTGTCTCATGGAAGTAAGCTGAGCTGAGCCATTTGTACTGCTCTGTGGATGAATTAGCTGTTTATTCGTTATGTTGTATCTCTCTAGCTATTTAAAATTATGTGTCCTGGTTTTGTTTCTCTAGAGAACCCTGTCTAACACAAACAACTTCTGAAGAAATTAATGCAATAAAATAAAAATTCAAGCTGAAGAAAGACTTCAAAATAGCGCAGGACACAGAAAGATAAGACATAGTGATTAGCAGTCTCATACATTTATTTAAATAAAACATTGCCATTGTGTAAAATCTTACTCATAACTATCCCATTTGTCTCAGAAAATAACTACACTCCACAGTGTTTAAAGGCGGATTTTTCAGAAGTAGATCTTCAGGTTTTCTGTTTCGTTTGTTTGTGTGAAATGAACTTGTTTGCCACGAAAGACCCCAGTCCATTTCAATTTTGCTTTTTCTCCTCTTTCGAAAAAAAAAAATTCTGATTAGCAGATTTTCTTCTGAGGTACTTCTGCATGGGCTTCAATGTCCAACTTTTTGGCCAGATTCTGCTGGCATGGGAGTATAACAGAACATCAATTATAGGCGAGAATCACTTAAAAGGAAATTTAGATGTATATGACAATTAACCGATTTCTTTAAAATTAAAAAAAAAAAAAAAGAAAAAACCTTTTGTCATGTTAATTGTAATGGCCAATTCACTGACACCATTTAATTTCTTACTATGCATCACACACAATGAATTTTCCCGGTAATACTTCTATAAATATAACTTACTATCATCAAGTCAGTTCTGACTCGTAGCAGACCCTATAGGATAAAATAGAATTGCTCCTTGGTTTTTCCATGACTGTAAACCTTCTCAAGAGCAAACAGTCTCATCTTCCTCCTATGGAGTGGCTGGTGGGTTCGAACTGCTGACCTTTGGGTTAGCAGCCCCACACTTAATGTGCTGTGCCACCAGGGCTCCTCTATATGAGTATAGCAAATAACACGAAGGATAGTTTGAAGAGTGTCTTTCCATTTGCTTTTTCCTTCAGACACTGGCCTTTTATTTCAGTTATTACCTTCCAAATCGTCTCTTGGACCAAGAAACAGACCTGATCTTAAGGCAAATGAGCTGGTATGATATCCTACCCACTGCCTTCGCCATATAGGACAAGAATCCAGAGAACCAAGGAAGAGGAAGAGGAGGAGGAGGCCACCCAAATCTCTGGGCTTGGACTGTAAGCGCATCCATGGAGTCTGCTCAACAATTCAAAGGCCACGCAAAACAAAATCGAGGCCACCTATCTTGCTGAACCTAGGGAGAACTACAGATCGGAATGGCTCTAACAAATAGACGAAATCAACCAAGGAGATCACACCGAGGTGTTTTGACCATTAAGGTTACCTGCACGGTGACCACAAGAATTCAATATCTAATGGACTTGTCTACAGTTTCCATGTAAAGGAGATGAAAACACAACTCAAGAAGCCAGATGGAGAACATAAAGAGCATCCACATCCCAACCTCAATGTGAGATTCAGCTTTGCCACAGAAAGAACATTGGACCTACTGAATAATTCCACAGAAATGTAGTACCAACTACATTTTTTTTCTTCTCAGAACACAAAAAGGAAGTGGTGTGATCATTTCTCTTTATATATTCAGCCCAAACCAAGGAAATAATTTACTGACCCGAAGGGCAGGTGACAGACATTGCTGTCAGGTTTCCACTAAATGAAGGTGGTAGGCATCTAATGTTAAATATTTCTTGAGGATCATTTGCCTTCCTAACAAATAGACAACATCAACCAAGGAGATTGTCAAAGTGGCCCAACTACCGCCTTCAGATGATTTCACCCTCAGATTACCTGCACGCTGACCACAAGGACCAGAGATGTAGCCATGGTAACTGCAAAAGACTGGTAGTCTGCCAGGTGCTGCCCGTCTTCTCCGACGCCATTGTAAAGGGCCCCGTAAGGGATGAAGAAAAGGGCTAGTGACGTGTAGATTCCATGTGCCATACAGATGAAAAATTTACGTTTGTTGAAGAGTTGATTGAGCTGTCCAGGTTCGTAGAGTTGGGGACAGTCCATACTGCTCTGGTCACTCACGTCCTGTTAAACAAAGCGTTACTTCATGGGGGGAAGGTTGAGGGAAAACCAGAGTGAACGTATAATCCTTGTCTCCAGAAAAAGCAAGTGCATAGTGTATTTTTTGCTTATAATCTGTCCGAACATGTACCAGGCACTAAGCTAGAATGAGGAATTATCTTGTTTTCAGTCACACAATAACCCTGAAGATAATAAAACGATCCCAATTTTACAGACCAGAAACTTGAAAGACTCACGAAAGGTCAGACAGCTATGAAGTAACAGAATTCACTTAAGTACTTGGCTTGACTTTAATCCAGATATTTGACTTCAAATCAAAAGGTCTGCCACCCCTAAGAAGTGCTTGTCTCTAGCCCATTTTGTGTAGCCAGAGCCCTAGTGATGGATTGTCAAGGCAGTGAGGGGTACTGACCAGGAGATGGCAGCAAAGAGCTTGGGGGTAGGTAGGAACTGTCAACTCTGGAGTTGCTAGCTTTGGGGGAAAGGTGTTTCAGGAGGGACCAGAGGGGGAAATTCCAGATCGGATTCCAGGTGCAGGGAGACTTGGGGCTTAAGTCTACCCAGTGAGAACTGCAATGGCAGTTACCACGTATTCAGGACCAGGAATTTGGACCGAACAGGAAGACAGAACACTTGGCATCAAACAGGTCTTGGGGGAAACGAAAGCAGCCCTTCTCAAACTTAAGGTGCCCAGGAACCATCTGGGAAGCCAACTCTGATCCGTAGGTCTTGATGGGGAGTCAGAAACTCTCTGCCTTTCCAACCAAGTGCCAAGGGGTGCCGATGGTCTCCAGATTGGATTGTCAGCACTAAAGCCAACTGACCAGAACCAAAATGGACCCCAAGAATCAGTCGCTGTGGACATCGGAGGACCCTGATAGAGAAGATGTGGCTGCAGGAGGAGCAACACAGACAGGGGACCTGGTGTGGTTAAGCAAGCAGGCTCCTTTCCCACTCGTGGGCTGCGGGGTTGATCAACTCTTGGTGAACTGGGTCCCATGAAGAACGATGGAAAATTTCCATGAGGAAGTCCTGCTTGAAGATGGTGTTGGGGTGCTTCTTCCTCTGGTCCAGTGACTCGTGGGGTTACGTGCACAGGCTTTGAAACGAGATAGTCCTGAGTTCAAGTCCTGACCCTACTGCTCAGCAAGTGTATGGTTTCAGGCCTCCACTTCACTTGAGTGTCAGTTTCCTCCTCGGTAAACAGTCACCGGCAAACCATAAACCCTCCCTTACAGAACCACCATCCTGGTTAAATGGACATATGAAGTCCCCAGCAGAGTGCCTGGAAAACAGAAAGTACTAACAGATGATTTTATCATCATAATAAATATAATAATGATATATCCTCACCACAAACCAACCCATTCCCGTGGAGCGGATGCCTGCCGTATCTAGACTGTAAATCTTCCGGGAACAAACAGCCTCATCTTTCTCTAGTGAAGTGGTTGATGGGTTTGAACCACCAGCCTTGCAGTTAGCAGCCACACACCTAATCCCCAGTGCCCCAGGGCTCTATAGAATAATAACAGTAATAGTCATAATGGTAAAAACCTGCTGTCTAGATGCCATTGGGTCAATTCCAATTCCTGGGGACATGTGATGCATTACCCCATGAGACAGATTTATGGAAGTGGACTGCCAAGTCTTTCTCCAGCCGACTGCTGCCTGGGTGGGTTTCAACCAGCAGCCATTTGGTTGGCAGCTGAGAACTTAGCTGCTACACTACCAGGGTTCTTTGGTAAAAATACAACCACCTCAATGTCAAGTGGCCTGGGCAGCGGGCCTATTTCTGTCACTTATGGGCTGCATGGCTCAAGGGCAGTCACTAGAACCTCTGAGCCTTGCTTTCCTCATTATAAAATGAACAGGTCCCTGGAGGACGGCTGAGGAGGCCCCTCTAGCACAACATGCCATGATCCTGTGATCCATTTGAGGGCCAAAGCAGACAGGGAAGGAAGGAAGGAAGGAAGGAAGGAAGGAAGGAAGGAAGGAAGGAAGGAAGGAAGGAAGGAAGGAAGGTCAGGGGGCGACACTCAACTTGACA